TATTTTTGTGGGGGTTTTGGAAATTTTGGGTTAATGAAAATGAGGGGCTAATAGCACTGTCAGATGAGGTATAATATAGCAAAGCATTATGTAAGCCAGGGTTGGCCAACCAGCTGCACACCTACCACAATAGCATGGGCAGCCTCTGAGTGTGGCGTGCAGCAGATTGGTTAGGAACTACAGGGCAAGGAGGGGAAAGCAGAGGAAGAGGATAGATGTGACATTTGGGGACAGCAATGTAGAAACACAGCCAGGCACCTGGAGCACAGAGACAGCAGCAACCAGAAGTTGCAATTATGATTGTACAGCTTCCAGCAGCTGTTGCTTTTTTTTTCTTTTCCTTTCCCCAGGTTAGTGCCTATGGCAGTTGCCACATTCACCTCACCCTAGTTACACCACTGCTCTGGGAGGGTGCAGGATGAATTTGAACCACATCTGAAAGCTATCCCATATTATCTGCTTACATACTTCAGTGCTAACTTGTATTATTATTATGTGGTTGCATGTCCAGTAGGGATGACAGAAAACTGGGATCTAAAACTTGTTTTCATTTCTGAACACAGGTTGCTATAAATCAAAAACTAAGAAATTAATCCACTTTGATACTTACCGATGTTTATAAATTACTGTTTTTTGTATTGCAGTAGGTCTGAAAACCCTGCTGTAATAGGTGATGTCCCCACAGAAAACATTTCTTATGCTAAATAGCTTGATTCAAAAAAGATTAGATGGTCTTGCAATTTTAAAATAAGAAAACAGCATTACAGACTGTTAAATTGTTAATTAAAGGTAACCCCCCACTAGAAATAGTTTTAATAGCCAATGGTTTAAATGTTGTAGATAGTATTAGAATAAAAGGTGTTAAATATGCAGGCAGTGTTGAAGTACGAAGCAACATGGATGACATTTCTCTTCTGTGATAAAAAAAAGATCAATTAGTTTGTACATAAACTTGGTAGATACATAACTTTATTTCTCTATCTTTTTATGTTCTAACGTAAGGTGAAGACTTGCAGTCTGCCATAGCTGAAGATAAAACCTTATACTTAGCAAGCAGGTCTGTCTGGAGGTATTTTTGGAGACCTCTTCCACATTAATCCCTGTAAAATGATCTGTTTCCTTACTGCAGTATTTTATTACTCTACAGTGTTTTATTACAACCTTACTGTAATTAGGTCAGAAGCTACAAACACAAAGTTTACAGCAGTGATAGTCTAACCACCTAGAACTGACTCCTCACAGAATATATTATCAATATTTTTTGTGTTTTGTTTTTGTCCTTGCATGTGAATAATGTAGCACACAAACTACATGCCATCACTTTTTCTTTTGATCTGGAGTGTATTTGCCACAATTCACCCATGAATGTACATGCTGTTCTGGCTGTCTGGTTAATGCTGATGGCTCATCCAGTTCTTGAGACAGTTGCAACTGAGTGTCCTTGTTTTATCAGCTTTTTTATAATGTGTGCTGAAACATCAGAAAACTGTTCGGTGCTCATAGTTACCTAGGTATTAGGCAACAGGCTGTATCAGTAACAGTAAAACAAACATGCCGGTATCAACATGATTCACCATTTGTATTTAGATCATGTATGTATGTATGCATGTGCATACGATATATGTATTATATTGAGAAGAAATAACTCCTGTCTGTTCACTCAAGACATGCTTGACATAATTTAAAATCCAGCTATCAAAAAATGCTCTTCACTGTGTACATGTTTTAGTTTGGGTTCAGATGACATCTGCTTTCCACAAAAGGTTTCTAGGATTGGCAAATAGCTCCTCTGTGGCAGGGTTGTTTGTTTGTTCGTTTATTTTTAGTTTTTTGTCATATTCTGGCCAAACAAAAACACGGTAGAACCTGTTTTCTGTGATGTTTCTTTATTACATTATTATGGCATTCTTCCCTGGTTCTGACCGGATTCTTGTCTTAAAGCAACTGTGTTTTCAAAGATGCTTGCAGGAAAATGGTTTCAAAAGATATTTACCATGTGTTCCGGATGTCAACAGGATACTTCAAGAGTTTCTTGGTATAAGACAGTTCAGCAAGTTGTAAGACAGTAATGATACTTAGACCTTTTTCTTTCATCTGTGAAGTTTCCTTCACTTTGTGATTTCATCGGGTACCTTCCAGCTGACTTCTCCCTCTAGTCCGCTGCCTCTGACAAAAGCAAATCTCTTCTTCCGATCCCCCTAAAGTCTTACTGGAACTTTCTCCCAATTGGGAGGTATTTTTTGTCATTCTAGGATTTGGATTGCTTTCAGAAAATAGGGTATCGGGCCTTGGTTCAGGAAAACTGGATTGCTTTCAGTTAGATGGTATGATTGCCCTACAATTACAGACATATGGCTCAGGTTATTTCTCCAATTCAGAAATGTTAAAAATGACAGAGGAGAAAAACTTGGTGTGTGAGTCAATCTAAAGGAGACAATGAGCTATCAGTAGGAGTTGGCTGTGAAAAAGGAAGATGCAATCCTAGAATATATCAAGCAAATGATTTCTCTTAAACCTAGGAAAGCAATGCCATTGTCTGTGGCATCGTCTTAATTAGAATGCTGTGTACCATTTTGGTGGCCAGAAGAGCCACTAGGATGAACTGGGGAACTGGGTGCTTGCCTTATGAGTAAACACAAAAAGAGCCTGTTTTATTGAGCCTAGCACATAGCAGAAAAGGATTGCTGTCTTTGTTTGGGGTGGAAGGGTAAACACTAGTGAGAAGAATGAGTTAACTTAAAGGACAGTATAGGTACACCAGACGGGTTAAATTGGTTATGAATAAAACTAGTCTGTAAATAGAAAAAAGATTTCTAACCACCAGAGGAGTATGAGGCAAACAACTTATTTAGATTTTAAGATGGAGTTTCTACATTTTTAAGTGATTTATGTAAGGTGGTTTCCTGGTAGCAGGGGATTGGGCACAATAGTGCAAGGGAAAGATCTTTTTCCAGTCCTACATCCCCATTTTCCAAAGGGCTTGCTCCTAGGAATATTTAGCAGAAGTGAACTCCTACCACCAAACAGGAAACCTCTAGAACAGTGGTTCTCAACCTTTTCTGTACCAGGACCCATTTGTAAACATCAGTGGCCAGTCCTGCCCCTGTGCCCCCCCCACCCCAGCCCCCTAGTCTGTGGGGTGAGGGGTATGTGTAGGGCATGGGGAAGGCCCCAAGCAGCCCCTTGCAGGCTGGAACTCTGTCAACCTGCAAGGGAAAAGCTACAGTTTCCTATGTTTTTCTCCTTTAAAGGAACATCTATTTTTAAAGTTTGTTCGTGATCCTTTCATATATTCTTGCAAGCCACTTTTGGGTTGTGACCCACGGAATGAGAAACGCTGCTCTAGAGGCTATGATAGAAACTAGTGAGAGACCCTTAAGAAAAATGCTACTGCTTTTGTATGCCACTATAATTACATCTATACAGGCAGTCCTTGACTTACAATGTTTCGAGTTATAACGTTTTGCACTTACAACGTTTATAAAGTGACACTCTGTTTCAACTTTATGATGTTAGTTTCGACTTTACAATGCTTGATCCGATGTGATGCCATGCCAGTGAACAAGTTTGCTGCATTGCTCATCTCCCTGGAGAACATCTGTCCAAATTTCCTTGGACTCTTTCTTTCAGAAAGCAGATAAGACTCCAGAAAAACCTGCAGCCAAGACTCCTGAGAAGACTCCAGCCAAGAACCCTTCAAAAAGTCCAACCAAGAGCTTTTTTAAAAGTCCAGCAAAGTCACCTCAAAGAAGTCTTTCCAAATCAATATGATTGGTATTTACAATATAAATACATTAATGTAGCTATATTACTCATCTATAATTGATTGAGTACAAAATTCTGGGGTATTTTGTTGAAAATAGGGTATCGGACCTTGGTTCAGGAACCAATTTCCCATTTATAACATTGTTTCTTATGAGAAAATTGGTTCCGATTTACAACATTTTGACTTAAGACGTGGTTTTCAGGAACTCGTGTTGTAAGTCCAAGGACTGCCTATATAGCTTCTGGCTGTTCTGGAAAAGAATCCTTTTACTTGTAAAAATAGTAAATAACTATAGCACGTGGGCTTTTTGGAAAAGAGAACTAATTGCCTGTGTTTCATAGTTTCATAGTAGCTAGGGTTAGGGGGGACCTGAACAGATCATCTAGCCACACGCAGGAATGAATGCTGGGTTCACAAGACCCCAGACAGGTGATTGTCCAACCTCCTCTTGAATTTGCCCAAGGTAGGGGCAAGAATCACTTCCCTGGGAGTTTGGTTCCAGATTTTGGTCAACCTAACTGTAAAAAATTGCCTTCTGATCTCTAACCTAAACCTATTCTCCATCAGGTTATTACGATTGTTCCTCATCACCCCAGGTGGTGCTGGGGAGAAAAGGGCTGTTCCTGTTTGCTGTTGATCTCCCCTGATGAGTTTGTAGGCAGCCATCAGGTCCCTCCTCAGCCTCCTCTTGCTGAGGCTGAGCAGGTTCAAGTCTCTCAGTCTCTCCATATAGGGCCTGTCCTGCTGCCCTCTCACCAAGTGGGTGGCCCTCCTCTGAACCCTCTCCAGGTTGGCCACATCCCTTTTGAAGTGCAGCGCCCAGTACTGGACACAGTACTCCAACTGCAGCCTGACCAAACTCGCATAGAGACTGTGTTTATGTAGCAAGTACTCTAGCTTCTTACCCAAATACTTTTGGATCTCCCTTAAGGATGGAATCTTAAACAATGTCCATGGTTTGTTGGCCTGGACTTCTTCCCATTGAAATCAGTCGTGAAGTTCCTATTGACTTCAGTAGGAATAGATGTAGCCTGAATCTTGGTGCTTTCATAAATCCCATCCTAAGTATCTACTAGCTTCATGTTACAGGCATTTTAGTGAGTGTTTTACCTGGGAAGTTGATTTCAAAATATCCAATATCTCTGTCAGAGAAATGAGATACATCTTAATAGAAAACACCTGCTATTTCATCATTTTCCATTATGTGTATGTTTTCTCTCCCTTCTTCCCAGAAATGGCAGTTTCTTTTTGGAACAATTTACTTCAAATTACAAAGAATAGAGTGTTACAGCAAAGAAGGGTATCCCTTTATAACTACACCCACAGCTATGAGGAACATGTGATAAAGAAAAAACTTAAGCAGTTTACTGGTGGATCCATCAACCTTTCTAAAGATGGCAATGGGATTGGAGTCCTCACCTTGAACAACCCAAGGCTTATGAACGCATTCACAGGTATTAATGTGTGTATGTGTATGTATGTGTGTGGGGCGAATGGAAAATTTATGCCTTTAAGTTTTGATTGTGTCTTTTGATTAGAGATGCATTAAGTAGCTGATGTTCAGCACTGTAACTCATTAATAAAAAATATAGTTGGGGAGGAACATCTTCTATAACATGCCTGCTTATTTTTCAGTTACCTCAATCCTGTCTCTTTTCTCTTTTCTTTTGACCTATCACAACTGACAAGGAACAAATAAATAGTGTCTATAATCCCAGAGTTTTTTACAAAGGTTAGTAGACAGCATTATCCCCATTTTGTGAATATAGGCAAAATTGAGAGTCCAAAGAGACTAGAACGTGCTTCCTTCATCTCGCTTTATGCTGTCCTTCTTGCTGAGTCTTTTATACTATGACCTTTTCCAACCTTACACATACCTAGCTGTTCACAGTGTCTCCTCTGTTAATTTTACACATCTACTTATTGCTAAATGATGAATAGATGACCTAAGTATTTAATTCACAGCTGGTTAGGAATTTTGTGGACCAAATGGTTTTACTCTGGAAAATACTAATTCGTCAAAACAGAAACTTTACTAAAGCACTGATTTTGAGGAAACTTATCAAGGAAGCTTTTCCAGTTGCATGATAGAAAGTGGGTAAAGGGACAAAAAAGAGAGAGATTAATAGACTCTCTTGCCCTCATACATGCACACTTGAAATCACATGAAATACAGGCAATCTTGTGATGTGTACAGAAACAGCAGTGACTTTAATTTGGATTATCACATCTTGGGGAGTGATGTCATGCAAAGGTCACTGGCTATTTTGTGTTCTCTTGTTATTTGTAAAAACTCCAAGACTAAGTACAAACAAGCAAAAAGCCTGAGGCTGAATTGATTCAGTCTTTGCAGGTTAGTCTGAGCTGCAAAGATTGAACAAATAAGCAAATGAACAGACATTCATTTTTGATTCAGGAAGTGCAGCCACATGCCTGCAGTGGTTCAAGCCAGAAGCCAGGAGATGGTGGGGGTGGCTAGAGCTTGGCTCTTTGGCATGTAGCCAGCATGGGCTGTGTGTGTACTTCCTCTTCCTGTTGCCCCTGAGGTCTCTGGGATTTGTAGTCCAGAGTCACAGCAGCAGGGTTGCTCATCACTTCCTTTTCCTGCTTCCAGGTGCTGCTGGGATTTGTAGTCCATAGTTGCAGCTAACAGTAAATTTAGTAGGACAGTGCAACTCTGTACCTGAGGGAAATTTAACCCCCTCCCTGGCCCCAGACCCCGGCCAGGGTTGCTTGGGGGGCCAGTGAGCCAGTCAGTGAGCTAGATTTCACTGCTCCAGCTAGGGAGGGAACAGAGGGACAGGGTCAGCTCTGCTCTCTGGAGCAGACAGAACAGCCCAGCCCAGAGCTGTGAAATGCTAGAGTGCTGGCAGACTGTGATTTAACTTGAACCAGGAAGGGGTGTGGGACAGAAGTTTCATAAACTGGTTTGACCCAAATCAGTTAAGTCTGATGTTGCATGCAACCAGGTTTATATTAAACCAGTTTCAGCCATTTTGAAACTGGTTTATATGCACTGAACTTCTATGATGTTACAGGTTTAAACCAGTTTCTGATCACTTAAACCAGTTTACGTGTAACTTTTGTCCCTAGCCCAAAAGGTCTTGAATTTTTGCTTATGAGGAATAGGAAAAAAAATGAAATTGCAGAATGCTTTGTAGGACAGGGAAATCTTTCCCTCCCAGTTCTAGTTTCAGTTCAGTTAGAATCATCTTACATTTTCTGATGTCCTTATGGTTTGTCTGTTTATCTATTCCAGTCAGACAAATTAAATGTAGCATATACCTCTAAAAGAAGCTAAAAAGAAATTTTCAGGCTTGGACTTATAAAAACCTTCAAGCTACATCAGTCAATAGCTACAGCATTCATTGACTCAATATGCATGTGAGAATGGCTTTTTGTATGGTATCATTTAAAATATGTTTTTAAAATAGGACATCTTAGTAATGATGCTCTTTTAGACAGAACATGGAATTTGCAGCTAGAACTCCTGGGTTTGTTGTAATCAGGGCTATCCCTGGGGGGGTGTGAATCTGGGTGACTGCCCCAGGCCCTGCACCTTGGGGGCCCCCACAGAGCCAGGCAAACTTTGCATCTGGCTGCTCACCCCCCATTCCCCACCTCCACTGGTGTGATTTGCCTTGGGCCCTGCACCCTGATACGGTTGTCTCTGGTTGTAATCTTTGTCCTTGACTTCCTATGTAACCTTGATCAAACTTTTTCTC